TAAAAGAACTGTATCAAAGCTTCAAAAGTACCAACAACGCGAAGCAACCCAGGCGAATCTTTATGAACCCGCCTGAACTTCGTCCAGCTGAAGTAGGCATGCAGCGGGCAGAATACTAGAGACGTTGGCGTCACTGATCACTATCTTACCAGAATAGCAGTAATCAACGAGAGTTTCCAACGTTGAAGTTTCCATGTCCACTATCTCTATTTCTTCTGGAATGTAAAGACAGAACGAGTAATACTTCAAGACTTAGCTCTGCAGGAATAAAATGCCACGGCTGAAGAAAAATCGCTGAAGCCATATAATGCTATCACAAGTTTTGGACATACCCATACGACTCTCAGCCATGTCGCTTGTGAACATGGCTTCAAAATAGTTTGAACATGCAGCGAGTGCGACTTTGTGAGCGTTAATTCGAGTTCCCTAGGACATCTACAACATAAGGATGAAAAACGAAAGGAGGAAGTGAAAATTGTCCGATATGTCGTTTCGACTACCTTGGCTACTAGAGCCACATCACATAGTCGAGATTCTCGAAGCTTGGCGAGCCGAATAAGCAAGGCGGCGACTGTGATCAGAGCTCTGAAATAGCGCCTAATACGCCAATTACTAGATAAGTTGAATGTTGCTTTTCTCAATAAGTCAGAAAAGTCAAGAACACAAAAGTTCGGTGTGCTTGACCGAGTGCTTTTGCAGAGGCATGTGATCCCGCATCCGAGACTATTTATGTCTTTAAGTGGACTTATTATCTTTTTGTTAGCATCAAGTGATTTCCAGTCACGATCCGCATCGGGTATAATGTGCTCAAAGCTCTGCCCTTCTAGGTCTTCCGATTCACGAGCTCTAACGAGTCCCTTCCAGATCAGGAGCTCCAACACCTGTAGCGATTATGTGTTATTTCTGCTATGGATATTTCTTCTATGAAGGACTTCTTTTGGGATTGTGGTGGTAAACAAAATGCACTGAAATGTATGGGGATGTTAACAGGTTGCTGCAATGGGACTTTTAGAAACTGAAGGTAACATAATTTCCACCTCTACGCCAATTTCAGAGATTTTTGTGAGTTGGTGTTAAAAGGACAAAAAGAGTTTCGTTACATAGCGGAGGAATGCTGCCTGTCTTTCTCGAATGACCTGCCGTGTGCGCCAAAGCTTCACCAAATGCTCGTTCTCCGAGATTTCATGGACCGAAACTCGGTTCACGCGACAAACCGCATCGATAGAATAGGAGGGGCTGGCGATACGGAATGGACTGGTGCAAAATTCGTGGCTTGCTACGAACCAAAACATAGGTGGAAAGACCCAATGGATGGAAAGCGGCGTTGGCCTGAGATTAACCCATGATTTGCGGATGCTCAGGAAGCGATGAGGATTTCGGCTAATGGATTTGTGAGAATGTAAAAAGAGAAGAAGTGTGTCAATGTGCATAGCAAGCCCAGCGAAATACCGCCACCATGACCGCTTGTCGATCGTTCGGCGATTGTCCTTCAACAGCATTGGAAATGTTCACAACATGACTACTGATCCGTGACGAAAATGGGTATAAAACTAATGATTTGCGTTACTACGTGATGATTATGATGCTTAGGACTGAACTTTACGAAGGTTCGCTTCTTACCTATCTTACAAAAACAAAGTCAGAGCGATTGTCATTGATGACTATCTGCAATTAGTAGATTGGGCAACTTTCCTACTGTTTTTCAATGTTCTTGACCTTTCTCCCGAGAGGAGAGCAATTTATGCAGGAAATCAGGCGGTTTTCAACTTCGTGCCACTTTTAAGATCTCTTTTCCAAATCCTTTTAGTATTACAAGGTTTTTTTCACCTCAAACTTCAAAATGTGTTCCCCTTCTTCATTTGGATGAATCCGGTCAGCTTCTTTAGTTGGAAACGCACTCTGATCTCCAGACATTTCTTGGACTTCACAACAGATTCGCAGGCAGGTTCGCAGTACGAAGACAATACCTGAAACAAAGCTATACTGTCCAATAATTCATTTTTCTGAGGCGCAAAGGAGCAAGGCCTGATCATCCTCGATTTACTTGTTTGATAATAAGCAGTTTTCACTGAGACGCTTTTTTGCATTTGGATTCAACCATGGTATGTGCTCATTTCCACAAGCACAAGGATGATGGTTCAGTTGGATGAAATCTTCAAGTGGATAAATAGAGCTCAGCACAAAGTGAAAAAACCCTTGGCTAAGGCATACAGTAGCGGTCAGAAGTTTGGAAACTTTTTTATTTTTGAGTAGCCAATAGACAATGAAATTGCCCCGAATTCACATATTATATTCAGAATCAAGTGTAGATTACGATGGGTAACATGATTTTTTGAAAACTGAAATCGCATTTGAAAAATACGAATTTTTATAAGAAATGGCGCGTCAAAAGTTTGGAAACTTCCGAATTCCAAAGCGAATTCGGCAAAATAGCTCTCAAATCCACATGATAAATTAGTTATTCGATGAGTAGCTTTGAATTTCTATGTTAGCGTCGTTTTTATTGACATGGAGTTGATTATAAAATAATTTTAGGATTTTTAAGTCGACCTCATACACTGTGAACTAAATCACATTGTTTGGTGGGATTCTTAACTGGAACGTGGGTAGAGCGACATGCCACTTTTTCCGTGAGATGTAGAACTCAATTAGACTTCAGATCTTGACTTGGTCGCTTCATAGCAGCTCCTTTTTCTGGGTTGAGGAAGGCGGCAGTGGGGAGGTAGGCCTGCATCGGGTTATTTCCGTAATAGAAAACCCATCTTTTCCGGCTAGTTCTGACTATCTAAGGTAAGCATTGTATTCTACAGACTATACTTGTACTTAGCCCAACCCACATTTCGCTGGATACCTAGAACTGTGAAATCGCCGAATGGTCGGACCCATGTTCATCCATGACAGTACTTCCACTATTCCTGACTGTTGGAATCTCAAACTCAAAAATAAGGTTCCCATTTGAGAAGATAGAAATCTCATTCGTCGCTGAGGACAAAGTTTCACCTCTTGGCTCCGGTTCATGTTAGCCGTTAGAGTGCGGAAGCCAGTTGGGCCATCCTGCTCTTGAAGCCCAACAATGGCTTCTTGTTGGGACATCATCCGTAATATTCACCAGGTCGCGGCCGATGTTGGGCTGCACTTGGACTTTCATATGATTAGGAAAAAACCAGAAAAAGTTGTCTCTTAGTTGGGAATGTCGGGGGTACGGGACGTGCCAACCACCCTTCGAAGTATTTGAGGAGGGCCAATTTCTTGTGAGATACTTTTTTGTGAATGATCATTCTTCTTATGCTTACTCGACTCCAATAACGCTAGAAACATTCGATAATATTGCTTCCGTAGAGACTGAACTACTAAGAAACAATTTCAATTTCGTATTCCGGATTGTAGGGTTTAAAAAAGGACCCCATGGAAAAACTGCTTCCTTTGCATATGAATTCATTTTGAAATTACACATTGCTCAATGGTTGAACTAAAATTAACAGAAACAAGTGAACATTGAAGAGTAGGAATCATAATGATAAGGGAAACAAAAAGTTTCCAAACTTTTGACGCGCCATTACTTGAAAAAATCTTATTTCTCAAATATGATTATAGGTTTTTGGAAATTGTTCTTCCCGTCGTATTCTGAACTTGATTTTGTATGGAATATCTAAATTTGGGACAATTTCGTTGTGTATCGGCCGCGCTAGATCAAAAATAAAAAAGTTTCCAAACTTTTGACCGCTACTGTATGTCACATATTTTTTTGTTTCTGTATCCCACTGTATACAACTCTGGTCTGATTGTACGAGCATATATTTAATTTGTCTCATATGCCTCCCTTCTTTCACCTAGAATTGTGTCTTGAGAGCCAGGCACCGGAAAAGGTTAAAGGAATCCTTCACGGAAAAATCATGATTCTATTTCAGCCATAAATCACTGGCTTGAGACCATCATCCACGATAAGAATGAAAAGAACAGAAAATTGCATTTGTTTTGGTAAAAATTCGAAAAATCGAAAGGGCTGCTACGCGTTCAAAGTGCCCACGGACGTCTTTCACAAATGCTGGCGACGGGGATGCTTCCACTTGGTTCTTGGAGTGCCTTCACTAGAAACTCTTTCTGGCCTTCTGCTTATTGCATTCACATCTTACACTTCTACTCCATCCTATTCTATCGATCGATTTGTCTCTACTCTCCGAAATCGCGCGCTTTAACCCGATTCTTTCATTGCGTCGCCTGATACGTAGCCGCCCCAAGCGGACTTCTTTCCATGCCCCGCCTTTGGCTCCGCCCGAATTACCTTCGATGTCCATAGAATGGATTTTCGTGAGTTTGTTTCTCTTCGGAAACCGAATCTTCATGCGTGAAACTTTGTGTATTGCATCTAGTGATCACAACTGATACATTCATGTTGAAAAAGAACGATTTCTTTGGGAGATACGTAAATTGCTTTACAGAAAAGCCAGTACATTGCTGCGGAGAAGCAGAGTGGCTGGAAAGCGGGACCAGCAGCTAAATAGTCTCATAGAATGCAGCCAACGTGATGATGAGAGGATCTCTGAAATGCGTCTCCCACCAGTTACCAAGATGGATTATCATTCTCGTCTTCTGTCTCATTCCCTTCTTACTCCTTATTTGATATCATGTCAGCTGGAGAAGTGTTCCGAACCATAACCGAGGTCGTGCGATTCTTGTGAGAGTCCTACTCACACCTTACCCTATGAAGTGAACAGTTCGGCACTCCTGAACTACCCATGTCCCAGCAGGTGATGCGCTGCGCCTCTAGGATGGTTTCCCTACGCAAGTTTAATCCCTCGCAAGCGACCTCCACATTGATATGTCTCGTTTTTGAGTAAAGCCTGAGAAAATCGCGTACGAGAAATTGTTCACTGTGCAGTACGTCATACGCACCTACAGGACCCAGTTGGCGCCGCACGCGTTGCGCGCACAGCACACAGCACAGTTCTGCGGCGATATGGGATGGTGCGGCGTAAATTCGAATTTGGCCCAATACACTTCGAATATTTGACTTTCAAGCTGAATTCTATCCGATTGCCCCATGCTTCATCCACCGATGGCTTTTGACCTTCCCCCTTCGTAAACCAATTTTCCACCATCTATGACCAACTGTTCGTTTTTCTTGGTCTCGAACCAGGGTCAACCGTCCGTTCGAACTGTTCGAACGAAGGGGTCGCATTTTGGTCGGAAGGGGGTCGCAATTTCGAGGACTGCCAGCCACAGGCGCGTGCGTGGCGTATCCGAGGGCAAGAATTGCTTTGTGCAGACCGCATTAGATTCGATTTATTATGCACAGAGAGACAGTTTTAGGCAAATTACGGTGTTTTCCTTGAGTAAAGAACAGTTGAAT